TCGTTTGCAACTTTACAAAGCGCAAATTCGGCCTCTCATCTCTGTGACGGGGCACGCCAGTGTCAGCTCCTTCCACTTGACCGCATCCAGCGCATAGCGGTTCGAGTCGTCGACGTCCGAATTCTTTCTGATCGGCTCCATTGACTGGCACTGCGTAGGGATGTTGCATCTCTGTGCATTTTCTATCGAATTTACCACGGGGAGTGCTCTGAGGAATTGTTCGGTTTAATTCCAGCCGCCAAATTTCAGGAACGCACATCGCGTCAAATGTCACGATATCGTGACCTCACCATCTGGATGTTTGACGGGCCACCACTATGCGTTTTACTAGGAGTTTTCTTCCTCGCACAACTTCTCTGTGGAATTGTTAACCATCGGCGATTTTCCCGGGCCGATACGACTTAGGGACCTTCTAGAAAAGAGCTCACTCCTTTCTTAAAGGCTGGCAACGCACCTGCAATTCTCCTGGTGTTGCGGTTGTTTATGGGTAGCAGTAGTCACTTACCATCACGTGACCCGCATGCTCGTTTGCCCCCTTTTCTATAAGAAAACGTACGACGAGAAAACCCAAAAATCTAAGTGCTTGATTTAGGGCTCAATACGACTATCACGGTGGTTTCTAGAACACTCATTATACCCAAATTAATCCAATAACGGTACTTGGCACGACCTGGGACACGATTTAAGCCCAGGACCAAATCATAATTCACAGTCGCGCTAGTAACCACATACAGACAGACAAAATTATATACTTTCATGATATGTATTTAGTAAAAATCTGTTATTTTGACGTTATGAACAGACACTTCAATTTTATTTATTTGAATAGTTTCGTATTCGTAAAGAATGAAAGTTTGTAAAAAATTCGAAAGTGATTACTATATTATTTTGATCTTGAGGCGTCAGAAAATTTGGCTGCACTTTTAATAATTCTCTTTTATAATTCAATACATGATCGTAGATATCAGTGTGATTTATACTGATGATCTAGTTGATTGGGAGTTATTAATAATTACTTTAAATGAAAGACAGGATTTTTTAGTGTATGTATTTGTTTACAGTCGACAGCAAAGTATAGCCGAATTTAATCAAAATGATTCGTTAGATTCAAATTATTTTTCTTTAGTAATTTCAGTATCAGTTAATTTAATTTCGTCTATGTGATTACCTTGCACTCTATTTAGAAAAGCTAATATTTTTATTAGCATCTTGTACGCACAACATGATAACATTTGCTCCAATTCCTCATTAATGAGATGTGAAAAATGGTAATTTCTTTTGTTAGAATTCTCTGAATATAACAAATAATTTTTATCGTGTTTAGACATGACTTCTAGTTAAACTTTACACCTCAGAAGTGGTCATTATTAATTTTGCAAAGACGGAGATAGAGGTTGGTCGTAATTAGGAGCTTCTGAATTTAAAAAAAAATCTGGTAATCTGCCTCACTTTAGTCCTAAAAAGAACAAAAATACTATAACATATAATTTCATAAACTTTTAAAAATATTGTGTTCTGTTAAGAAAGTTCATCATTTATTGCGATATATTACTAAAACTAATGACATTGAAATAAAGATGCATAGCGTAATTTTAATAGAAAACGTTAAATATAGTTAAAGTCAATTTAAATATATAACGTCAAATTAAACTTGATTTCGAAACTTAATTTTAAAGTGAAGATAACGCATAATTAATTGAAACAGAACTTACATCTGTTATTTATAATACGAACGTTGCTGAAAGATGAAAAAATATGAGGGAGTAAGTCACAAGTCGCGTTGATGCAATGAATATATCGTGCATGTGTCTAAAAACCTCGGGAATTAAACAGAGGCAGCCGTACAAAGATGGGTGCAAGGGGGGTAAGGGAGAGGGGGACATTACAAAACTTGGCTTTAACCGGTTAATTCTTACTACCTTAACCGAAATTTGTGAAAACCGGTTTTGGGGTCAATGACCGAAACCGGTTTAGAATTTCAACCGGTTTCCGAGCTCTGCATACAAATACTTGTTCCGTGCGGGATTCGAACCCGCGCCCCCCAGCGCAGCAACTCATTGCTAAGCCACTGCGCCACGGAGCCGTCTACCTATGCACTTGTTGTTTTTCTATAATAAATAAGTACGTGTGCATACGGAGATGGTGGCACTTACTGCGATTTTTATAGTAGTGTGAAGGTATATTTGAAACATCGGTGTTGCACCGCCGAGTACATGATCCCGCGCTTAGAGTTTAGTTTCACTAGAACATCATACGAGGTGACACCTATGTCTCCCTCCCCGCGGATGTACACGCGCTCACCAAATTGTTGTAGTATATTTTTCTCCCAGACGATACCAGCGGCCTACATCATCGACAAAGTGGTCATTCGAGCCTTTTCATTTTTGTCGTCTGCAAAAATATAATAATAATTAGTACCAGTTATGTTCCTCACACCGTCGACGTCGCACAAAAGGCAACAGCCGCGTGGTGCCGCTGCAAAATCGGAACGCAAGAACAACCAAAATGTGTTACCATCGTTCAGCTTAAAGGACGAAATGCTGAAAAAACCTGGAAATGTGCAGAGTAAGAGTAAAAAGTCATCAAAGACAGCAGGCACGTCGTCAAGTACGGCACGCAAGCGGCAATTGAAATACGAAACCGCTAAGGCTATGGCTCTCGTGGAAATACAAGCAGTGGAAGCTCAAGCAGAAGCTGCCAAGATTAAGGCAAATATTTAGTCGGAGTTGCTAAAGAAACAGCTTGCTGCTGACATAGCAGAATTGGAATCTCGATCACTCTCTTCCCACAAGTCGGCTGCAAAATCTTCGACCAGCAAAGTTGAAAATTGGCTGGATGCTCCAGGAAAACAGCATAAGGAGAACAGAGAAGATTACTGTCGTGAAACAATCGGCATAGAAAAGCTGGCACACGCCTTGAATGAGCTAAAAAAACTACAGCTAAAAAACTAAGCCCGTTGCCGTTAACTTATCATAATGATATTATTAATTTCACAATAAAAATTAAGAACTATGTGGCTGCTACCAATGCAACAAAGTGATTATGTTCGCAGCCCGGAATTAGTATCGATTGTCGTTTCCAAGCTTCCAACTTTACTTGTCGCAAAATGAACCGACTATATTTATGAACGGCGAGAGTGTAATTTACCGAAACTAGAATTGCTTAGTGAGGAAGCCACTAAAACAGCTGCATCAGGAGTAAGTCATATTCACCCTCAATATAATTTAAAGAAGCCGGATGAACGTAGACACCGTTCACAATCGCTGTTACTGTAGACAAATAGTAATCAATTAGAAAACGCAGAAAAGTGTAAATTTTGCCGAAAAGTGGCTCATGGTGTCGCAGATTGTTCACGGTTTAAGCTAGCCTTACGCAAAGATCGCTGGCGATTTGTACGCGTAAATAAACTTTACTTTAAATGTCTTGCCCCCGCCATACGAATGGTATGTCTTGTAATGGCAGTAATTGCGACATTAACGGCTGCAATCAACCGCATCATCGTTTACTGGACTGGATCAAGCCAATGGAAGAAAGCTTAAAAACTGTGGAGCGAGATGAGGATGAGCATCCCAGCACCAATGAAACAGTGACTCATATGGTTGCATCCCACGGTCATAAGGTGCATTTGAAAGTGGTGCCGCTCACTCTTCACGGACAGAATGGCAGTTTGCATGCGCATGCACTACTGGATGATGGAGCTACCGTGACGGTGATATCCTTTGATATAGCAGATGCGCTCTGATTATACAGTGGAAACGTGATTATGCGCGCGCGCAGCGCATGGGACTCGGGCGAGCTTGTCTGTGGACACTTTGTTGATGATGTAGGCCGCTGGTATCGTCTGAGAGAAAAATATACTAAAACAATTTGGTGAGCGCGTGTACATCCGCGGGTAGGGAAACGTAGGTGTCACCTCGTATGATATTCTAGTGCAACTAACAATAAACTAGGGATCATGTAGTCCCCGGTGCAACACCGATGTTGCAAATATACCTACCTTCACCCTACTAATAAAAATTGCGGTGAGTATGCACACGTACTTATTTATTATAGAAAAACAACAAGTACATAAGGTAAGTATAAATTACAATTTATTTTATTTTTTATTAGGTACCTCTACCACGTAGAATTCTTTTCCTATTCAGTGAATTATTCTAATTCAAAGGGAATTCCATTGCATTGCATTATCATAATGACGCAGCTGCCTATTTTCTGTTTCGGTTTCCCTCTGAGAGTCGACAGAGGGAAATGCCATAAAAAAGAAAACCTTTAGGCTTCCGACGAATGGCGGTATAACCATCGCAGACATAGTCAAATCATAAATGCCCAGGCCTGTGATGGGCAGCAACATTATAGATGCGATGTATCTCGCACTGCGATCACCAACCCGCTTGCCCAGCGTGGCGATCAAGAGCAAATTCTCCCATGAATTGTACCACAAAAACACGGCTGCCAGTTCCCGGTTGTCCCATTATTCCTGACCGAGGTGGATATCATGGCAACGGTGGGGCAGGGGTACAAAGAATCCCCAGGAGAGAACAGGTTACCACCAAAAACTGGACTTAAAATCGAAACTGGTATTAAAATTATCAACAAAGATAGAAGCTAATTTAAATTTTAAAATGTGTACAAAACATTAATAATAATATATTGTTGCAAAAGCTTTCATTTGTAAAATATTATGTTTATCTGTTAATACCAAAGACTGTGTGTACCAAGGTCTGTGGTTAATATTTAATTTAATTCTATTAGCTTAAAGAACAAGCATCCAAGCCAAAAATATTAATATATTTCTTTAATTTTATTAATTTACTGAAAACGGAACCTCAAACCTTGCTACATATATATTTATCTATGCCTCAAACGGAACGTAATTTTGACATTTAGTGGATTGATGATTTTTGATAGAAACGTCCTGTCGTTCGATTACCGAATGATGAGCGAATCAGTGTTTTTTACAAATTGTTACTCCTCTCTATAGTAAATATTAATGTGAAACGATGTCCGATATAAACATGGAGAAGTTTGCGGTGCCAGAGTTTGTTCCTGATCGCTATGTAAAAGAGTTAGCGAAATCCTGCGTTGGAGGGGAGGAGTTGCAGCAGCAAAAGGAAAAAATTCAAACATTGGCCGAAGAGACCGCCAACGCTCTTAAGAAAAATGTTTACGAGAACTATATGCAATTTATTGAGACGGCTACGGAGATTTCCCACCTAGAAGCTGAAATGTATAAACTGTCTCATTTGCTAAGTGAACAGCGTACAGTGCTTACAACGTTATCCCAAGCATCTATTTTAGGTAATGATAATACGATTTCACGGGAGTCACTTGACAACCATGATTTGGAGGCTGACAGAGCTGAAGAACAGCGTAAGAATAAACTTAATCTTATAACAGAAAAAGTGGAAGGTTGCATGAATCTTTTAGATGTACCAGATAGAACATTACTTCATGAAGGTGATTTACTAGAAATCGACGCAGAAGAAAACACTGCCTTACAGAGAATGCATGTATATTTATTTAATGACAGTCTAATGTTAACCTCGTGGATTTCAAACCGTAGAGGCCCTATGAGATATAAGTTTCAAATAAGTTACCCAATTAGCACACTAGCAGTAGTGAATGTACGAGATTTGGGTACAGTTAAACAAGCATTTAAAGTTCTAGCATTTCCTGATACTAGAGTATTTCAGTGTAATAGTTTAGCTATCAAAAAAGACTGGCTAGATAAGTTTGATGTGGCTAAAAAAATGCACATAGAAAAAGAAACTTCTAAGCAGAAAAAAAAGGAAAGCCAAGAGAAGCTTAGAACTGAGACCCTAGATTCCCCAAGTCTCTCAGTTGAGGAGCTTCCATCACCACAGGTGACTCCGTTACCGGACTGGTTGTCAGATGTTACAGAAGAGTTAGATGTGTTGATTGTTGAGAGACATTTCCAAAGGACCTATGAACTGATGGTTTCAGCTCAGAAAACTTTAAACAGTGAAGAATTAAAAAGTCATCCTCAAAGAGCAGACATTTTGAAAAGAATAGAGCAGAAACAAAAAGCTTTAACTGAGATATTACTGAAAGAACTGGATGTAAGCCATAATTGGAGTCCGAGGGGAGGCCTGAGATCTTCAAGACATCCTGTGCTAATACTCAACAAGTTTAATATGACCAGTCAAGCTTGTGAGCTATTTCTAGAAATTTGTAGTCATACCGTTAATGCTCACGTTAAAGGAGTGCAATTGGAAGGTTCAATTCATAGTTATGTTAATCAAGTGGGGGAAGTTTTTTTTTGCTCACTAAGTGACGCCTTAACTGAATTTATTACCTTATTCCCTAAAAATAAAATAAGTGCATTTATAGTATGGGCTAGTATGCAATTAAGGATTTTAATGAGTCAAATTATAAAACAAGTGTTTACCCCACAATGTGCATTGGACTCTGTTTTGGAATGTGTTCAGAGTTTAAGGGATCAATGTAGTCTTTTTTGTGAATTTGGTCTAGATTTAAGGTTCCAAATGAATAGTTGCTTGAGAACTCCAATCATAAAGGCTCTAAGAGAATATAAAGAGAAGATTGTAGATTCAATGAAAATGAAAGTGTCTGAAGATAAGTGGACGCCTATTAATATGCATACAAAAGCTGGTGTAAATAAATTTTTATTGCAGATGGAAAATTTGGGCCTTATCTTAGCTAAGTACATAATAAACGAAACTTGGGTGGACTTATCTAGTAGTACTATATGGTTCGCTCAGTCCATATTAACTATCCAGAAAATTGGTTTAAAACTTGTAACAAAGGATATGATGGATGTGTTAGATGAGTGTATATATGCAGTATTCAACAGTCGCCTTATGCTCTCTGTAGGAAATGATTCAAGTTATGCTCAGAAGAATTTCAAGTTTTTATTAGAAACAATTATGCCGTTAATGATTAGGGTTTACAAGGAAGAGGTTGGTTATGATAATGAGAAATTAGTATCATTAGCAAAGAAATTTGGTATGAAAGTTACACCTCCAAAGAAGTCAAACATCACAAAGTATACAAGTAATGAATATTTATGAGGGTAGTCACTTGCAAACTTCATTGAGTATGCTGTCAAACGAAGATTATTTTTATTATGCTAAAGCTTTAATACTGTAGATATAGATCGTAAGCATGCAGATTTTTTGTAAGGTTATTTAAAAACTGATCAAATTAAAATTTATATTATATGCAAGTTAATGAATATGAAATTTTAATAAACCGAGGTTTCATAGTCTCATGATGGTATTTATTTGTCTTATAAATATGATTGTTTTTATTAATAATAATAGAATTATAGTGCCATTTTGGCCATCACGGGCAATATAATAATGCAGACATATTTATTTTACTCTTTATATTTTAATTTGGTGTATTTTGCTTTGTCATGAATTAAGAATGTGGCAATATGTTTCTTAGGTAAGATAAGCAATAAAATGAAAAAAAAAACAAATATAAATAGTCTACTCCAAAATTTTCACAAGAGTTTTGGTTCCAAAATTGAACAAAATAAAGATATGTATAGTTTTTGATGGATTTTCTGATTTAAATAGTTTGCTCCTTTTCATAATAAATATTATGATGTTGAACATGTTTCTGAATACCAATGTTTACTACTTTCAAGGAAAAAAAAAACCTATTTTGACATTACTTACTCTGAACAAATACTGGTACAAAAACTTACAGAAAGTGATATTGTGTGCAAATCAGCAGAAACTATAGCTAGAGAATGTTAAATTTTATTTATTATTTAGAAATAACAAGAGATTTGTTACAGCTCATTACAAGTCTACTGCCACACATAGACCTCAGAATAATTATTTGACGCGGCTGCCCATTTTCTTGCTAAGTATCCCTGTGTCGCCTCATAAAAAACCGATGCAATGAAATTGGACATTGGATTCTTTAACGCTGCCATTACAAGGTATATGCAATGTTAATTTTTAATTACTTATATACATAATTTTATTATTTAGTGAATTATCATAATAGAAAATTTATGATAGCAGTATTACAGAGCGTATGACAAGTTTTTTTTTATAGGATAGGGTGACAAAGGAGCACACAGTCCACCTGATGGTAAGTGGTTGCTGTGGCCCATAGACATCTACATTTATCCTCGTTTGCGAATCAAAATGCAGATGCGTTGTCACCCGTGAGGACTAAGATAGAATGCCTCTTTTCCAGTAAAAAGAGTCTCCGGTACTCTACACTCACCATACGAAACACAGCAGCATGAAGCTGCTACTTGACGCTGGTATTCTGTGAGAGCGTGGTCCTTCCCCAGTCGAGCTGACCCATTCATGCTGCAACTATATTATTAATATAGCTGCAGCATGGCTCTACCACGTAAGTATGGTTAGAGTACTCAATTGTGGCTTCAAATCCCAAAAGCAGCCAACGTTTGTGCATAAACATTTAGTTTTTTTGCCTAGTAATCTTTTAGCTTGGTATCAATCATGGTTGGTAGGCAGAATTGGCGAGAAACTAGTTCGCCTTCCTTCCGGAACCTGTGCATTCTGGTCTCTCGCCAAGGCTGTCCAAGGGAATTTCTGTAAGCCATCACTACCATCTCTGCACAGGGAGGACGACTCACTGGCCCACGCCGCAAAATAGAAAGCCGACCTTTTAGGCTCCCTTTTTGCGTCTAACTCGACTCTTGATGACGGGGGGAAAACACCGCCGACCATCCCGCGGTGTGAGTGCTCCATGCCGGATGTGCTGTTCTCACAGCGCTCGGTTCGCAAAGCACTCATCTCCCTGGACATCCAGAAGTCGAGTGGGCCTGACGGAATCCCCCCAATTGTGCTGAGGACATGTGCTCCGGAGTTGGCACCGGTCCTAACGCGTCTTTTCCGGTACTCCTACTCCCAAGGCGTAGTCCCGAATTCATGGAAGACAGCTTTTGTCCACCCGATCCCTAAAAAGGCGACCGCTCAGAGCCGTCCAACTATAGGCCTATCGCGATCACCTCCTTGTTCTCCAAAATAATGGAATCCATTATTAACTGCCAGCTCATGCGGTACCTTGAGGATCACCAGCTGATTAGTGAATACGGTTTTCGTCGGGGTCGATCAGCTGGTGATCTTCTGGTCTACCTGACCCATAGATGGGCGGAGGCAGTAGAGTCCATGGGGGAGGCGTTGGCCGTTAGTCTGGACATTGCGAAGGCCTTCGATCGGGTTTGGCACAAAGCGCTTCTTTCGAAGCTCCCTTCCTATGGGCTTCCCGAGAAATTGTGCAATTGGATCACCAGCTTCCTTGCAGATCGGAGCATCAAGGTCGTTGTAGACGGTGCATGCTCCGACTACAAGCCTATTAACGCTGGTGTTCCACAAGGCTGTGTGCTATCACCAACGCTGTTTCTTCTGCATATCAATGATATGTTGCTAACTGGTAGCATTCATTCCTATGCGGCTGACAGCACTGGTGATGCTCTATACACCGGCCGTGCCAATATTTCTCGGGAAAACGTCGCCGAGTACCGGAACAAACTTGTGTCTGAAGTCGAGTCTTTGCTTAACAAAGTCTCGGATTGGGGGCGACTAAATCTAGTCCAGTTAAATCCCCAGAAGACACAAGTTTGCGCGTTTACCGCTAAAGAGAACCCCTTTGTCGTATCTCCTCAGTTTCAAGGCACTCCCCTTCTTGCCTCAGACAGTATTGGAATCCTCGGAGTCGACATATCGAGTGACGTGCAGTTTCGTGGTCACTTGGAAGAGAAGGCCAAATTGGCCTCTTAAAAGCTTGGCGTGCTCAGCAGAGCGGGACAGTATTTCATGCCGGCACACCGCCTGCAACTTTACAAGGCGCAGGTTCGGCCTCACATGGAATACTGTTCCCATCTCTGGGCAGGGGCTCCCCAGTGCCAGCTCCTTCCACTTGACCGCATCCAGCGCAGAGCGGCCTGAATCGTCGACGACCGAGTCCTTTCCGATCGGCTCGATTCATTGGCACTGCGAAGAGATGTTGCATCTCTCATTAATCCCAGCCGCCAAATTTCACGAACGCACATCGCGGCAGAACTCCCGATACCATCCACAGCATCTGGATGATTGGCGGTCCACCACTGTGCGATTTAGAAGATGTTTTCTTTCTCGCACGACTTCCTTGTGGAATCGATTACTATCAGCGATTTTTCCTGACCGATACGACTTAGGGACCTTCAAGAAAAGAGCATACTCCTTTTTAAAAGGCCGGCAACGCATCTACAATTCCCTCCCTGGTGTTGCAGTTGTTCATGGGCGGCGGTAGTCACTTACCATCAGGTGAGCCGCATGCTCGTTTGCCCCCTCTCCTATAAAAAAAAAAAAAACTGGTTACCTATTTCTGTCGCCAAATAGCAGCGCTCGCTCTGCTATGTTTGTTCTGAAGATTATAGAGTCAGCATAGTTACAGCCTGTGAGGCATTCCTTCATTGTCCTCAGAGATGACAACGTAGATACGTTATACAGCTACAGATAACATACTACAGATGTAGTCTTCTTTGTTTGAAGTTGCCTCCAGGTGTCCACGGACTGCAAAAGCCATATAGCATCAGGTGGCCTGTGACTGTAAATCCGTTTGCCACTTAAGTTTAAAAAAAATGTACTACAGAGTTATTTTTCAAAGAGTAGCTAAATTTTAAACTTAAGTTCAAATATATAGATAGTGATAAACCGTTATTGCAGTTTTTGAAAATACTAGTAAAATAAATCTTCTACTTTTATTTGAAAGTATCCCAAATTGAATGTGATGTGAACAACGTTTTTGCCTACCGATCGACCCTTACGAATTTGTGCGTGGTGCAGTGAAATTAGTTATAATGCATTACCACGTATTTTGAATTTAAAAGATAAAAGGACAGAATGTTTGAGATTTTTTTTCTTCTTCGCCATTTGCCTATATTTACCTATTCTGAACCTTCTCTGCAAATTTGGCCAATTATTGCAAAATAATCCTGATATAAGGGATCAAAATTTATTTAGAAATTTTATGCCAGCACATAATATATTGATCCACTATAAATTAAAAGTGCAGGGTAGTTGATAAGTTCCGCTTGAATTTCGTAGTTTCCGCTGTGGTTGCAATCGAAAACAACATTATAAAAGAAAACCAACTTTACCACAGTAACATTTTTAATTGCACATAATTTACATAAGTTATAGCTTACTTTGACGGTTACGATTTAAAATCACAATATACATTAAAAATACAATAAAAATAACATTTATTCATTCTCTATAAGCGATTCAATAAATGTGTTTCCATTAATTAATTTGGTAGTTAACACAACATATTCAACATTAGAGTCTTCTTGGTGACTAATACTTCTGAGTGCAGATATTTCATTGTAAGTACATCCTCCAATGAAAAATACAAGTATAACTCTTGGATTCTCTAGGGAGGAAGAGTTGTCGCTGGAAACTGAGTTCCGTCGTGCCATACGGGGTTGTAATGTCTGAAGTTCATCGACTGTAGGGCCGGGAAGAGAATTCAGTACATCTAAAATACCTGTAAGAATACAAGGACAGAATCTAAATATGAGAAAAATATATAGAACTATTTAATGCATCACAATATTGGTATTATCTTTAGCACCTGATTTCTCTCCGGTCGTGTCGAATTACCATCCCATCGGACTTTGAGTGTGAGGGAATAGAGAGTGAATATGTGCTTGCACATACACTTGGGCACTACAATTCTGTCCTGCGCAGATATCTAGTCTCCGTTGAGATTGTCCGCCGTGACCGAAATTCGGTCTGAAGTACATTATTTCTTAACTTTTTCATTGACAAAATCTTATAATTAAGCCAAGCCAAGTCGCCGTGTAGTGGCGGTGAAAGTGAATCTACTATTCCATAACATCCTGTGGTATATGTGGTAAGAGACTATAGAGGGAAATGATACAAGATGGGCAGCAGAATCTTCCTGATAACAGCTCAAAATAATAAAAAAACTACTTTGAAAAATATCCCCCCCCCCTATGTGGTTATTTAAGGGGGAGGCCTATGTTCAGTAGTGGACTTTAGGTTTACAGTCCAGGAAGTAGGCTTAATACGGCATATGGATGATGAAGGTAGCCAAGGTAGAGAGTAGAACCAAAGAGTATATAATCACTACGTTTAAGGTTCTATAATGATATCGTGTCTAGTGATTGCAATCCGGCGTCATTTTCAGTCCGGCCGGATCTGTACGGATTCCCATCGATCCGGCCGGATCAGACCGGGTCCGGCCGGATTGATCAAATCAGGATGATTTTCGGTTCAAAATGAACTATTAGTAAGTTAATCAAGTGTCATTGTTCTTAATATAGGCAGTTTATAAAAAATGAAACATGTATATAAAGTCAACTTTCTACTTCTACTACTTCAACTACTCTTTCTAAGATTTTTGTCGTTTCTAATCGTATGGTTTTTTCCTTGGCATAGTAAATGTGTCATGAGATCGGTTTACATTGTCATGATGTTTCTTTGGATTCTGTAAGTATATTAATATTCCTGTTACTACAGTGCAGCGTTCTTTAATCCTTGCACGTAGTGCTTCATATAATTTAGTACTTAACACCGTGTCATGAGTAAGTAACTTCTCTAAAACAAATTTTAGTGTTGTTTCTGCAGTTAACAGGACTGAATCTTTTACCACGCATTTAAAGCACCTACTCATGCAACAGCTCTATTATTTTGGAAAAAATTGTTAGCACCGGATCCGGTCGCTGGATCCGGTATATTGGTACCTTATCCGGTAAACGTTAAATGACGCCGGATCCGCCGGATTACCGGATCCGTTTTTCCGAATTGCAATCCCTAATCGTGTCGACTTATGCCGATTAACGAGATTACCATGAAAAATAAATACTGTTGTTTAGGCCAAAAATGGTCATATTGAGACGGCATCCAATCACGTTCGACTTTGGGAATCGCCCGATGGTACCAGGTGTCACGCGTGTCCGGGACGGGGGTTTGTTTATGCCCAAAAATGGTTATTTTGAACGCCATCCAATCGCGTTCGAGCTGGCGCGTCACCCGATGGTATGAAGGTGAGGTAAACGCCGCCAGGTGGGGCGGCCGTGTGCGGTTTGCAGTCGCTCGACGCGTGGGCGAACGGACAGTAGCTTGGCAGTAGCTCGGGGGCAGCGGTGCCGTTAATTGGCGTATCTTGGTGACCGCTGCAGAAGATTTTCGCGCGACCGGTTTTGGGTTTTGGTCTAGATTTTTAGAATTTGTGCGCGTTACTTCGCTACGTAATTGTGGTTTCGTGAAAATCGCCTCGGTTTAGTTTGTCTAGGTTTTAAGTTCGTGACAAGAGGCTTGTATTGTATTTCACGGATTAAAGTAATTTCGTTGGAAAGTAATTGCTCCAATTATATAGTGATTGCGTGTTGAAGTGAATTTTACAATATTTAACTTGCTCGGGTGACGTGGAATTTCGTGCGCGCGCCAAGTAGAGAAACGGTCTGGAATTGAACTGCGCATTCCTTTTCGAGGCGTCGCTCGGTTGATTGTTTTGGAAATCATTGTGTAATTATAACGTCGCGTTAAGAGCCTTTTGTGTGTTGACTCAGTAGCTAGTTTACGTGTCAGCTAGGTTGATTTTGAATTCTTATTGCGGCGTGGTGTTTAATATCAAGCGAAGGAGCTTAGTTGTGTTTGTAACGCTGAACCGTGTGACTCATAAAGAGATCGCGTTAGCTCCCTATTCGTAATTGGGTGATAAATGAATCCGGGACAGTGAATGTTGAACTTTGAACTATTGTTCGTTACTTGTGTCGGGTATCACGTGTTCGATTCTACGATGAACGTTGAATTAGTCGAGTTGAAGTTAGTTATATGTACAATAAGGTGGATAGACTGAAATAGTGAAATGAAGAAAGAAATTCTCCATCGGGGACGCCTGCTGGAGTGATGCAGCATTGTGGGGCAGCATGGAAAGCGGCCGCTGCCAGGTCACCTTAGCTGGGCCAGATCACCCACATATACACACCACTAAACACCACTTTACATGCACTATACACCTACCTACGGCCTGACCGAGCCTTGGTGCGGTCTTAGCTTCGGATATAGGCACGTACTATTTATTTACCTAGCCTTCTCCCTATTGTGAGTATGATAGGTCATTTTTCCATAAGGCCAGTTGGGCCCGAACCCTCGGCTGCCCGTCGAGGAGGCTACTATGGGCCCTAGCCAAGGCGACCTTTGCAGGGGCAGCTGGGGGCCGTAACAACTGTCATTGTACAAATATACCTGCAATGTTCTGAAGAGGGTTGTAAACAGCAGCTGAGAATCCACAATATAAACCAACCCGCATGTTTGCATTATCTGTTTGAAGGTGAAGCGTGAAGCTATAAAAGTAGATATTGCTCTATTTATACGCACTGTTACTTGTACTATTGTATCTATTTTGTGCCACTGTTTTTCGACTTTTGTTCACACGCCTTCTCAAGTTTTTACTAAATTTAATTAATTTTTTAAATTTAATCATCTTCCTTGTGGAATCGATTATCACTAGCGATTTTTCGGACCGATAACAACCTACAAGAAAAGAGCCTACCCTTTTTTAAAAGGCCGGGAACGCATCTGTAACCCCTCTGGTGTTGGAGGTGTTCATGGGAAGCGGGAGTCACTTACCATCAGGTGAGCCGCATGCTCGTTTGCCCTTTCTTATATAATTTTTTAATATATTCATAAAATTATAATGTTGTTGGGATTGAGGGTAAAAAATAAAAGGAAATACGAACAAATGATGGTAGAACGGTAACATCCCACTTGTTCTAGCAGTATAAAGTATCGCGCAGGCGACTGAGAGGGATCAGTCTGTAATTCTACGAGTTTCACTGTCGTTATTATGCCCGTTGAGCTAAAACATTACCTCTATACTGAGATTCTGCCTAAGTAAGACAAGTGACGCGGTTCTGTTCGTTGTAGTAGTTCTTCTAGAGTAAGCAAAGATCGTGTTGCTGAGAGGCAGCCCTGTGTTACATAGAGATGAGTAGCGTAGTTGTTGCTTTGCATACTTTGGTGTTATTATTAGGTCCTTACACACGAAATTAGCGTTTTGTCGTACTGACCAATTTGATCTGAAATATCTCCTCTTTGGTTAAGAATTCCAAATTTAATTTTATAAATTCATTTAGCTGGTACATTTGAGTTTTGAAAACAGTAATTCATTTGTTTTTTGCTCACTATTTTTTTTCTTTGGTGGCGCTTATTACCGCACAATGGAAAACATGAAATATCGGTATATTTACGAGTACGAGTGTCTACCGTGGCACCAGTGCTGCAGAACCAGCTCGAAGGATTAATGATGTGTACGGCGCTGGTGTCGCAAAAGAAAGCACGGTACGTTTTTGGTTTCAACGTTTTCGTTCTGGAAATTTCGACCTTCAGAACCAATCCCGTGGACGGCCGGAGACCAAAGTGGAAAATGAAGAATTCAAGGCTATTGTGGAAGCGGATCCATCACAAAGCACTTCAGAGATAGCTGCAGGCGTCGAGATAAGTGATAAAAGCTAATCGGGAAAGTAAAAAAACTTGAACGATGGGTACCTCATGAATTGAGTGAATCGAATTTGCAAACACGCGTCGGATGCTGTGTTACTTTGCTCAACCGGCACAATAATGAAGGGATTTTAAATCGAATCATTGTGATGAAAAGTGGATACTGTACGATAATCGGAAGCGCTCGTCGCAATGGCTGAACCCTGGAGACTCAGTCAAATCCTGCCCTAAACGAAAATTGACTCATAAAAAGTTACTTGTGAGTGTTTGGTGGACTAGCGCCAGTGTCGTACACTACAGCTTTCTAAAATCTGGTCAAACGATTAAGGCAGATATCTATTGTCAGCAACTGCAAACCATGAAGGAAGAACTAGCTGCTAAACAACCGTGATTGATCAATCGCTCTAGGCCACTGCTGCTTCACGACAACGCAAGACGACACAATGCACAACAAACAACCACTAAGTTAGATGAGCTACAATTGGAATGTCTGCGACATCCACCGTACAAGCAAGGCAAGGAGCAAGGTCCGGGGAGGACCTTGCTCCAACGGATTACCATCTTTTCAACTTCTTACAAGGAAAAATATTCAACTCCGATGCGGCAGTCCAAACCGCCTTCAAAGAGTTTATTGATTCTCGGTCCCATGGTTTTTTAGTAAAGGGATCAATGAACTACCTATGAGATGGCAAAAGTGCATACTTTGATTAATTAAATATATTTTCCAAAAAAATTGACTATATTCCTCCCGTATAAAACGCCAGTTTCATATGTAAGGACCTAATATGTAATGATGTCCTTCACGTTACACCGATGTGTGATTGTGACGGGTACATATTACGGTTGGTCGAACTGTATTTGGCTCTATACTGAATGTGTAGTGCTATTGGCTTCTCTCATTCCTGTTGATGATTAATTGCGTAAGCAAGAGAGCAAGTTGAACATCCGCTCTCAGACTTATTATTTTTAACAATTAACCTTCAGAGTAATTTGTAATACGAGTAACATTTTTTTTAT